ATTCAAACAGTGGGCAAACTATGGTCAAACAATGGTCAAACTAATTATTCTAGAATATTAGTGTTACTAAATAATTATTTTAATTATTTCAATTTTGGTCAAATCTGGTCAAACTGTGGTCAACTGTGGTCAAACAATGGTCAAACTAATTATTCAAGAAATATTAGTGTTACTAAATAATTATTGTTTTTTAAAACAATAGTTTCAAACTCAAACAGTGAAATGTGTCACTTCATGCTCAAGCAAAATTCCTGAAGGTTAATAGGATTGACATCTTATTATTGTCAGGAAAACAACAAGTGCAGACTTGGAGCGTGGGAGAATAGAACCCGGAAGTTAAGTGTGCTTGGGCTGGAGTAGTGAGAGGGATGGGTGACCGGTTGGGAAGTTAGATGATTTGGAATGATGAGGGGTGATAAAAGAATAAATTGAGAAGTGATGAGGGGTGGTGATTAGAGACTAGAGGTTAAAATAATTCAGAAATTTGAAAAAAAAAATTCATTTTTTTTTTTCAAAAACCTGTGGCGGCCTTTAGTCGCGGTTAGCCACAAGAACCGCGACTAAAGGTCCTCCGCCCCGAAGGCCACCTGGCGCCCACGTGGACGGGCCTTTAGTCGCGGTTCTTAAGCAACCGCGACTAAAGGGGGGGGCCTTTAGTCGCGCCCGTTCGGTCGCGGTTGCGCAACCGCGACTAATGGCAGTTGTGAACCGCGACCAAAGGCCCTTTTTCCACCAGTGGTAGTAGCCAACGCACCAGTCGCCGCTCTCCAAGCCGTATGTTTCATGCGTAAAGGAACACAAGAGTTCCAGATAAGATTCCAAATGGATCGATTCCCGTCGGGGCTAGTGCTCGATGCCCCGGCGAACTGTTAATCATGCATGGCCGTCGCCAGGTAGTACGCACTTTTCACGGAAAAACACCCGTTCTTCTCCGGGTGCCAGGCAAAGAAATCTTGACGTTGTCTCGGTGAAGTACGAATTTTCAGAATTTCACGGACGTCCAACGGCCAAAAAAGATCATTCAAACATTCCACCATCCAAGCACCATTATCATCAAGAAAATTAGACACACGGTTGAATCGACAGTTCCCTTTCGGTGTGACCGGCCGAAAGTACGTATCAATGAACCATCTCCAACCCGCCAAATGATGCCTTTTTTAACCGGTTCCAGACCATGTTCAATTCCTTTCCACACTGCTGAAGAGTTTCCTGTAAATATTGTGTCCAATAAATTCCCATTGGGACAGTACTTCGCTTGTAATAATCGCGCACACAAACTTTCTGGATTATCAAGGAGTCGCCAGGCCTGCTTTGCGAGCAGCGCTTGGTTAAAGGCCCGCATGTCACGGAAACCCATACCACCCTTGGACTTTGGTAGCTTCATCTTGTCCCAACTTAACCAAGCCATCTTTCGTTTTCCTTTCTCTACACCCCACCAGTATTGCCGCATTAATCGTGTAAAATCATCCAGTACAGAGATCGGCAGCTGGAATACACTCATCACACAGGTGGGTATGGCTTGCGCAACTGATTTAATTAATAGTTCCTTGCTCGAAGTTGCCATGTACTATTCACTCCAATCAACGAGTTTCTTACTAAGTCGGGCTTGCACTGTTTGAAATCTCCCCTTATGCATTCTCCCTTCAGGTACAGGCAAACCAAGATACTTAGGATCAAAAACCTCTTGAGGCACCTTCAGAATTGACTTAATTCCCGCGGCCTCAGACGACAAACAATTGTCGGAGAAGAGGATGGAGCACTTTGCAAGGTTTATAAGTTGCCCTGACGCCGATGCATAAGTGTTCAACAAACCTCTCACCAACGTTGCCCGTTGCATAGAAGCACGGAAAAATAACAAAGAATCGTCCGTGAAAAGGAGGTGTGAAATAACTGGAGCTCTATGACAAATCTTGATCCCTTCTAGTCCCTCCTTGGTCATTGACTTACTGATCAAAGCAGATAGCGCGTCAGCAACAAACAGGAACAAAAAAGGAGACAATGGATCACCTTGCCGCAACCCTCTTGACTGCAATAATTTACCATTAAATTTGATAGAATATTTCACCGAAGGAACACATGCCATTAAACTTATTTCATCATGAAAATTTACATACTTGTAGATAAGATCCCTATGTACACGTGTATTTTTTTCAGAAATTTTTGAACTTCAAAATATGAATTTTTTTTTGTATTGTTTAAAAATTCAGGCTCCATGTAGGCCGGGAGCCAAAAATCTACTCTTAGAAACCGGAAATTGCTGAGACAGGTAAGTTTGGTACCGTGAAAACGCATGAGCTAATAATAACGAACACATTACTTAAATCACCTCAATTAGTAAGTAGTATAAACCTGTTGCATTGCATCTACGATACACAGGCTGGTGAAAACAGATGAGACGGTAGAATTGCAAGAACAGTGAACGTACGTCCCTTTTGTACATTACAGAGTTATACAGTGTACATTTTCATCGGCACAGGGATGGATGATCTACTTGGGAGATGTGAGTTTGCTGGTGTCGCTGGACGAGTCCCCGCTCACCAGTTCGTGGAACGCCTCCACCTTCACAGGCGGCACCCGCATGCCGTACGAGTTCCTACAACACAGCGCGGATCAAGGGACTGAAGCAGATGATGGCGGCGTAAAACCGGCCAAGAACTGGGGTTACTTACATCGACTGCGGCACTTGTTTGAACTGCTGCGCTAGCTGGGCTTGGGCGCTCTGGTTTCCAGACATGCCCAGCTGCTGCTGCGCTAGCTGGGCTTGCGCGCTCTGGTTTCCGGACATGCCCAGCTGATGCTGCGCTAGCTGGGCTTGCGCGCTCTGGTTTCCAGACATGCCCAGCTGCTGCTGCGCTAGCTGGGCTTGGGCGCTCTGGTTTCCGGACATGCCCAGCTGCTGCTGAAGCTGCTGTTGCTGGTGGTGGTGCTGCTGCTGAAGCTGCTGTTGCTGGTGGTGGTGCTGCTGCTGGAGGTGTTGGTGCTGCTGGAGGTGTTGTTGCTGCTGTGGCTGGAGCTGTTGCTGCTGCTGCGGCTGCTGCTGCTGTTGCTGCTGGTGCAGCTGCAATACCTGCTGCTGCTGGATCTGCTTCTGTTGCTGCTGCTGCAGTAGCTGCTGGTGCCTCAGCTGCTGCATCTGTTGTTGTTGTCTGGTGAGAGATCCGTACGGGCTATCTATTTGTGAATCCATGGTGTTCTCTAGCTTCACGTTTACCAGGGCCTGGGCTTTGTCCGACATCGTAAGAGCGCCACGGGGGCCCGCCATTTGGTTCCGCCTCATCCACTGTTGCTGCTGCAGCAGCTGGTGCTGCTGCTGTGCAGTCAGATTCTGGTTATGGATAGTCATTTGAGGAGTGTACTGCCTCTGGAGCTGCCAATTAAACATATTAACTGTGTGTTAATGTTAGGGGCAGCATGAGAAAATGATGTTATGGTTTCACAGAGAAGACATTTCCGAAAACAGTAATAGTTTCAAGTGTGTGCATAGATGATAAAAAGAATAGCATAGAACTCGCTAGGTCGCAGCGGCGCATCCTGGCTGACCGATGTTCGAATCCCATCGGGAGCGAATTTGTGGTATCTCACCCGGGTGGGTTCTCTCTTAATATATCGTCCATGGGATCCTCCCCATTGGATCACAATAAAAAGAATAGCAACCATTTGCCTCAAAAAAAATTTTGCTTCAAACAGTGGCTAATCAAACAAACAAATGTAGCAGAAGCAAAATAGTTCCCATCACTGTGATTAGTGACCATTCAAAACCAGCCGGATGTCACAAAACCAGCTGGTTCAGTGGGCGAATGTAGAGACTGAATTCTAGAACCACTCCCAGTTCAATGGGTAGCCACTCACAGTGAATGGTCATACATTAGTTCTGGGAGTTGGTTCCAAGTTGCAAGAGTTAGCAGATTTTTTCTTTACATGACTGAACAATTAGAAGAATAAGGAGGCCTATTCTGAGGCAAGAACATTGGTTTGCAACCCGTTCTACCCAAATCTCAAAGATACTTGCACTAATTATAATTTGTAAAAAAGGGCAGCCCCAGTGCATGTAGCTCCCGCTTGCGCAGGGTCTGGGGAAGGGTCCGACCACTTTGGGTCTATTGTACGCAGCCTTTCCCTACATTTCTGTAAGAGGCTGTTTCCAGGACTTGAACCCGTGACCTCATGGTCACAAGGCAGCAGCTTTACCACTGCGCTAAGGCTCCCCTTACCACTAATTATAATTTGTAAGTGCCTCTAAAAATTAAAGTATCAGCAAGATTACACAGCTGTCACGATGACCAGCCAGAAACTAATATCCATTCCCATCAAGTGAATTTACTTGTGGGCAGCTTAGCCAAAGAGCTTGTTTACACTACAACAAGTTAATAACAGAAAATGTTCTGTTCAGGGCGTTTTAATAAACACCTCAGAATAGCATCTAAGAAGGTGTTCTATCAGGTTCGCCCCAAATCATCTCTAGCTTAAGGCATTTTTGGAGAACACCTCAGACTGGATGAAGCTGTCAGTGTCAGGGCATTTTTTGCAAATCACCACAAAACAGACAGCTGTGGAGGCGTTTTCTGGAAGCCTCAAATTGAAAGAGATTTTGAGGCATTTGTAAGAAACGCCTCCTAATGGATACTCCTGGGCGTCGGCGTCAATGGAGGGGACATGCCCGTGTATGTATCAGTAAAAAGGGCATATGAATTCTTGCCAATAACATTACCTTTCTTGTGGTAAGTGCGCTACAATGTTTTCCAGCCGATGCAGCGTTCGAATCATGCATGCCTCTCTATTTATACAGTTTTTTTCTCGCGCGAGGTTGTTTTTAGTCCCATACCACTTGGCGAGAAAGAGTTGGAGGTAGTTAAAATGTGCAAACATAGGCAGTGTTTCAGAAATGACAAGTACTGATGACATTTCTCTCGCTAATGGGCTTGTCTAGTCAGATTTAATTCAAATTCTCAGCCTGGAAAGAAAGATAGATAGCCATTTGGCACAGAAAAGATAAAAAGAGAAAGAGAAGAAGACCCCATGGTGTTTGTTAGTTCTGTTTTCTGATTTTGGTCGAGAAGTTTACAGCGCTTTAGGAAATTGCCCCGAAACCTCGTTTTTGGCGTCTGTAAAACGCCGCTGAATGCCAGATCTTTAAAGGGGTTACTGGAAACGTCTCAGTTGACTTTCCCCTTCATGAGCTTCTCTAGCATTTTATAGAAATGCCACACAAAACAATTGGAGGCATTTTTACGTCTTCTAGAGGCGTTTGAGAATGCCGTTGTAATACCTTATGTGTTGTCGTGTTAGTTGGCTGAATCCATCAACTTTGGACAATTGTGGGTACATGCTTTTTAAATATAGTAGTATAAACAACTAATCCTTCTGAGGAAGGAAAAATTTATTGAAGTAGCGTACAGAAATGGTAGAAAAAGAAGGTAAGCAATGTATACGCAACATAAAGTATGGTAACCAGCAGTAGTTGCCAACCTGTTGGGCTTGAAGGAGATTATTTTGATTTTGTACTTGTGCATCTTGATGAACTGGGTGGCTAGCCACTCTACTCCCCATCTTTGTAATCTCCATTAAGGGTCCAATGTTACTAAATGTTACATAAGAAAAACGAAATCATGAGCTCAACAGTTTATTTGCTAAACAACATATGCTGAATGTGTACAGCTCTGCCATCAAATTAAATCAATTCTGTTAGTAGAGTACCTTGATTTGTTAAGCCGTACTGTAAATTTTCATTTTGAAAAACTGAATGTCATTATAACCGCTTGCACGTTTTCACTACTTCTCTTGTTAAATACTTACCTGGGACCTTGCATATTGGATGGTGAACTGAAACCTTTCCCAAGCTCAAACATTTATGTTACTTCAGACAAACATGCGTCTTCTAGTCAGGAACAGGGCACAGTGATAGTGATTTCTTTGACAAAGAGATAATTACTTAAAACAACAAGTTCGGGGTGCCATAATACAAGTCCAGAGCTACCAAGTTCAAACGTTGTGCTAAACTGTAATACGGTCCCCTGAAGCCGTGGTTTTTAGTAATGAACTCTTTGTCCAATGTTGTTAGAGAAGCATCTATATTGGTCTATATGACCCTGTCCTAAAACAAATTTTACCTGGTGGAGTTGGCACAATCTAGCATCATTCAATACAATATTAGAAGAATAAGGTATTTATGAACTCATACGTGGGTAGTTATTAACCAGAAAGAAAGAACTGTGTCGGTATGGACATGTATAAAGGAGTTAGGATGAAGGGAGCTAGATCAAGAATAGCATTTTCGGTCAAAAGTGTGTCACATTCACAGATCTGCTAAAATGTTAATGCATAATACATTATTCACAGATCAAGAATATCATTTATAGGAAACCATGCTGACGTGGCCAAACCTACTGCTAGGACAACAGAAATAAGGAAAACCTTATAGTGAGGGTGTGAAACTGAAACAAATAAATGAACCTTTAAAGAGGTGTCAAGAGAAGTTATCACTGTTTATCTTAACCATTCTCAGTGAAGCAAAGTGCCATGGCCCCCTTGGTGATAATGACGGCCCCAGCAAATCAGCAGTGAAGATCAGGAAGGAAGTCATAACTAGGGAAGACATGGGAAGCAGGCAAATTAAACCTGGCAGTGCATACTCAGAGACCATTGTCAGTGACACTTACAACAGTATTGTGAAGCTCGGTGAAAAGGTGTAAGCTGTCATGCCCTATTGAGATTTTTGGCCACGTGAGCTAATTTAACTCCCATGTGTGTGGGAGCATGCAAAACATATACCTGAACCCTACCAAACATCGATCAACGGAGATAACATTTCCTTTTCCCTGACAACCTTGTGTATATTTCCCCTCCCTTTTTTATTTTGCCTTCTTCCTCACCAACATGTCAGGGTTGCGGGGGAGGTAAGACCAATAACAACACCAACATGGTATACTACTGGCGCAGAAGTGCATCCCATATCTACCATTCAATACTAGCGATACATACATGTCTGTCATGTGTTAACTAGAGCTTTCCTCAGACAAGTGGAAAAGGCAAACAGGGCCCATTCTTTTAAAACTAGGTGTTGTTCCCATTTAGATTAGTGCATCTATCAGCATGCTTGTCAGAGAAGCAATATGATTTCAGATAGAAAAACAAACATGGCTATTTAAGCAAGTCATATGCCATACAGTTTTTTTCCCGTCTACGGAATACTGACAAGAACACACGTAGTACAAACAGAACAAGGAAGGAACATGTAAACAAAAAAGGCTACAGGTACACAAACAGAGCAGGGAAGAAACATGTATACAAAAAAGGCTCAGCATACCTATAGCCAACAGTCTGTAGGAACATCTTAAGAAGTTCGATGGATGAAAATTGTTTCCTGTAGCTGTCAGTTATAAGTTTCAAACTGCGCCCAAGCTTAGAGATGTGCTTAACTATGATTTCTGAAAAATCATCAACAGACCCTGCAGTTCCACTTTCAAAGCCTGCAAGCGCTAAGTATCGAGCAACCAACTTCCGTATGATAAGCAAAGCTTGCTCTTGACTTAAAGATTTTCCTTCTACTTTAGATACATCCTTCCCTCTATATTTGTTTCCTGTCTTGTAGTACTCAGGCATCATTCCAAACCTTTCAAGCATTGCAGTGTTGCGACTAACAGGTGCCGGTAAATTATCAAGAACACCATGAACTTCTATTTTATTGCTGATAGATATCCCACTCTCTCTAGGGATTGCACTTTCTGGAACACAGTCAGCTGGAAATCGAATTTCCGGAATGAAAAGATCATCTGTTAAATTACTGAATTCCCCATTTTCCAACATAATGTTGGGACCCTGGTTGTCCATAAACACAGTCCTCTTCCTTTTATGCAGACTGCAAACCTTAAGATACTCAGACATTCCCTCTGGTGTTCTCTTTGGCATTTCTTTGTCATCTGTGCGAAACTTGCCATGCAATGTCCTGAACTTTTCAGCATATTGCTTGTACCATGTGGCAGGTAACTCATCATGTCGCTTATGCCTTTGAGATAACATCGAACTCTCCCTGCTTGGACTAAACGAAGTTCCAGATTGCATCTGCAGAACAAGAACAGTTATAACCATCAGAATATAACATAGGAATGAAACTGTTGCCCTCTTATTTAGCATATACCACCCAAAAATGCTATAGAGAGTTAATATAGCAAACTGAGAAGAAATATGGATGTGCTTTTTACTCCCTCCGTCCCGTAATGTAAGACATTTTTTAAAACTAGTGTAGTGTCAAAAAACGTCTTATATTATAGGACGGAGGGAGTAGCAATTAAGGAACACATTCAACAGTTACGTATGTAACTAGGTTGGCAGCATGATATGTAACATTTAATATGAAACCAACGTGAAGCATATGATAGTAAAAGAAGCAGGTTATAACACGGCAAGTAGGGTGAAAGTGAGATCTGTTCACACATGTCCCGTCAAGAACCTAATTTCAACGTCTTTGAATAAAATAGGTCGAACAATTCCTACAACCATGCACAGGAGGTTTTCAGGAAACCATGTCTATGATCTAGATAAGCAACAATAGCAACAGTCGCTATTATAAAAAAAGGTTCTTTGAACATGTCATGAAAAAAACTGTGACAAAGGTTCGTAACTAGGGAAATTACTATAAGATGTTTTCAAATCAAATAAAAGTCAACAGAAATAAATATCAGGCAGCAAAAACAAGCTTTCGAGAAACATTTGCATATATCAGCGGAACAAACAAACATTAGATGGGGAATATAACTATACTTGATGTTGAGTGTTATCTTCCTGCTCATCTTCCAACGAGAAATAAATATCATCTCCATGAAGCTGAAGATCTGGGATCAACAAAAGGGGAAATCACGATCAATAATGGCAGACATTTAAGCCCTAGCAGCTAGCAACCAAGATTGATATTACACCGAATTCCCTCCAAGTCAAACGTTAATCATTTCTTATCAACAACTAGTTATTATCCAAATCTTGAGCTAGCACGTTTTATCACCTTTTTCTGCATCTGACATTGGCACAGACATTTAGGACATCCAACAGAACTTAACCAATAGTAGGAGAGAAAACATAGTCTTGACTTAAATTCCAAAGCAGTTACAGTTGCAACTAATAACACCTCTTAAGAAAAGAAAAAAACATGCAAGATATGCTACATTTCAAGCCACGATACCATTTCAAATCCAAACAACTACAGCAGGCCTCAGACATTAAAATTGAACTCACGGATAACATTTCAATCCTCAGTTACTAATCAGTTAGAGAAGTAGGCAAACACCCGATATTAGGGTGTAACAAAAAGATATCGATCCATGATGAATGGCACCACATCCCACTGAAGACACTGGAATGTAAACATTGATCATCCCCATGAAACCTAGAACACCATGTAACCAAGTCAACCTCGCCTACAAATTTCTAGCTCGGAGTCTTCAGACCCCAGGCCCAGTGGTTCGTTGGTTCGTGGCAGCAAAGGATTTCCCCAAATCTCAGCAACAGAGTGGCGCGAGCAGAGGTGGTGGAGGAGGGGCTTCACTCACAGCTGGCGTTGAGGGAGTGGGGGCCGGCGGTGGAGGCGCCGGCGCGGAGGACGAGCGCGGCGGAGGCCTTGTCGAAGAGGAGCGCGCGGACGCGGAGCTGGAGGAGGAGGAGCTGGCGCGGGGGCGAGGAGGATGAGGAGGAGGAGGGGCAGAGGAAGGCGTCCCAGGTGGAGGCGGACGCGAGGTGCGGCGCGAGGGAGGCGTGCGCGCCGTCGCCGAGCCACGCGCGCCACGCGCCGCAGGCCTCCAGCCGCCGCGCCAGCTCGTAGCCGCGGCCGTCGTCGCCCAGCAGATGAGCCGCCGCCGCCATCCCGCGCGACGGAGGGTTACGATCGGGCTGCGCGTCTGGCGCGGGCGGAGCACCGGGATCTCCTCGGTCGCCGCGGGGAGGTAGCTCGGGCGGAGGTGGGAGCTGCGCGGCCGGAGTTGGGGACGACGAAGGGGAAGGCGCGTGTCTGGGAAATTTCGGCCCGTTGGGTTCTGCTGCTGGTAGAGATTACTAACTTCTGGCCTGCGCTGCTATTGGGCTGTAGCTGTAACAACCACCCTGAGTCGAACAGAGTCCAGGATATTTTTTGACTTTTCCAACTATGGACTGGTCCATCAGGCGATGCAACGAAACCCAAAAAAAAAAAAGGAAATCATAGGCATGGCTAATAGTTTTACTTCTTGTTCTTTCGGTTTTGAGTCTAGGGCATCAAATGTCGAGGCACGCAATCTCGCGGAACATTCTCTTACTCTAGGTTTTGGTCACTATACTTGGTTTGGTCACCTTGAAGTGTAAACATTGTGATGCAGTAATGAAGTTCGCGAGTTTGCATAAAAAAGGGAAATGATTAACATCAACCAGTGGACTATCATGCTCGTGTCCGCCGTCGTAGTTGCGTGCCATGTGGCCTATTGGACCATCCAAGTTCCTATCCCTTATCGTATCTCTTCCGCAGCCTCTCTCCCGTACGCAACTGCTCAATCTTATCTAATCTAGTGGGGCGACTTCTTCATCCTCACGTTTTTCTCTCCCAATAGGACCGCTACTGTAGATGACCACCGACACAGGCTAGCAGCAGATGACCGCCAGCACCATCTGACACCAAATCTCTCCTCGGTCATGGTCCAGCATGGCCACCACCATCTCAAGCTCCTGCGGCAATGCCCGCCTCATCCATGCCCGCCACCACCTCAAGCTCCTGCGGCAACGCCCGCCTCGGCCATGGCCGCCACCACCTTCTGTTGTTGGCAGCATTTCCTTCATGTCACGGTCTCTATTTGCAAAAAAGAAAAGTTTTGCGGCATGAACTCAGTTGCAAAAATTTATGCAACATGTCCCCTATTGCAAAAGTCTTCCTTAGTTTTTCCTACACCTACTACTCTATTGTTTTAGGGGAAAATGGTCGGCTTTTTCTGTTAATTTTCCAAAAATTGGCGAAATAAAAATATGTGCACAGATTACTATTTCTCATGAATTCAGAAAAATATTCAGAAATTTTAAAAATATTTTGTAAATTCAGCAAATGTTCACGAATTTCATAAAATGTTCATGAATTAAAAAATGGGCATGGTTTTCAAAAACAAATCTCGGTTTTTAGGAAAGTTAGTAAATTCAAAATTTGTTCACAAATTTGAAAATATGTTCATGAATTCCAAAAATGCAAATTTAAGAAATTTTCATGAATTTAAAAATGTACGCACATTTGAAAAAGGCTTGTAAATTTGAAAATGTTCACAAATTTGACAAATATTCATGATTTAAGAAATGTTCGTGATTTTAAAAAATATTCATGAGTTGAAAAACGAAAAATAAAAACAGACTGAAAAAGAGAAGGAAAACACAGAACAAAAATAGGAACTTTATTTAGGCAAAGAAAAATAAAAACTATAAACGCCAAAATAGGATTTACCATGAATACTCCCATCGCGTCCGTCTCTGAGTGCTCTGTAGATCAGGCTTCAATCGGGCTTAGCCCAACTTCGGATGGCGATTGTTTTTGGTAAAATGAATGCGGTGGATTCTAAAAAAGGTAAAATGAATGTGTGTTTTCACTCAATTATCTACCTGGCTGCTTTTATCACGATATACATGTTTATTTTGGCTTTTGCGGCCAGCCGACACATACATGGCACCCTTAAACATGGACGTACACTAGAATAGTGTGTTCCCTAGAAAAGGGGGATTATTCGGTATAACTAGCAAACATGCCCGTGCGTTGCAACCGGAGCGAAAAATCACCTCTTAGACACACTCTTGAGACATCAGTAAATCTCTTGAAATCGTGAACGATGTCACATGAAAAACAAAATGATAAGTGATGTTGCACAAAAACATAAAGACGTGATGAATTTTGAAGTGTATTCAAGGTGTTTCCAATCTAGACAATATAAATATCTATGTAGTTGCAAGTATCTCTTTATGCATTTGTTGTCGTTCCTCCTCGGTGGTGCCCAACAAATATTTGCATTACGATGAAAATCATTTGCAAAAGAGCATTGTTTTTGCCTCGTTGATATATGTGTTTTTTTGTAATCCAAGTCAAGTATTAATTTGGTCGCAAACATGTTAGACAACTCCATCGAAAACAATTAATTTGTAAGGGCATGCATACCAAATGTTCAAGGTTGCATATCAACATCGATTATCTCAAGAAAAAATTGTGGAAACAATTTAAAACAATATGAAAATTAAAGTCAAGCCATTGGTTTACCTAAAGCTTGTATCAGCAACATTGTACATTTTTTCTACATCAGAAACAATTTTATATAGACGCTAACCTATTTATTTTTTATGTCTACTTCTTTTATACACATTCTACTTTTTTGTATACATCAGGAACATTTTTTACATACACGTTTAACAACATGATACATGATAATATTTTTGAAAACTTATAATTTTCATGTCTACTTTGTTCCATACACATTGTATATGTTTTTGTATACATTTATATATATATATATATATATATATATATATATATATATATATATATATATATATATATAGACACACACACACACACATCAGAAACATTTTTTCTATGCACATTCAATTTTTTTTCAATGCATGATTAACTTTTACTAAAGAATGAAAAATATATTATTATTTTTCTATACACACTGTACTTGTTTGTATATAATGGAAACATTTTTTCTATACAAGCTTGACATTTGTTTAATGCATGATTAACATTCTTTCAAAGTCCGCATATATGTGATTTTTATAATTAAAATATTTATTGTATTTCAAAATAAAGCCAAAAGAAGAAAATACAAAGCGAATGTAAAAGAAATGAAAAAAGTAAGAAAATATAAGTGTTGTAGGCTGCGTTGGGCTGGCCCAATCAGGCATCCTATCTAATAGAGAAAAGGGGAGCAAAGAGTGGAGATTCTGGGGTCAAACCTGGGTCTCCTAAGTGGAGATTCTGCATGATCAGCTAGTTGGTCTGATCATGCAGTTGTGATTTCCTTGTGGGTTGGCACCTTATTGTATAAAAAGGAACGACCGACTTAAAGAAAAAAACCAAATCGTTTTTCCCACTTACCGGTAGCATAGGCGGGTAATTCATGCGAATTCCAGGGGCAAATTGCGCGACGGACGACCAGAAATCCAATTTTCTTTATTATTAGGTAAAGATTCGCTAGAATTTTGTTTCGGAAGGATCTTTATTTAGAAAATGGACACAATGAAAGAGAAAGGGACTCCTCTATGAATCCGATGTTGATTTTTTTACCATGACAAATAGAATGTTTTTTAGGGCAAATTATGTTCCTTGAGGATAGCAAGTTCAGCTCTTTTTTTAACACAGTACATATTTACGAAGTCATCGTAGGCGCCTCATCATCGATGGAAACGTTTCTCCCACTGAAAGTGCATCGCCGAATAACGCGAGCACCAGGACTTGAACCTTGTTGGGCTGGGGATACCACTGTCCCTCTAACCATCCAACCACAGGTTGGTTCGTAAATAGCAAGTTTAGTTGCGAGCATGGCAAGTCTGTCTCAGTTTATTTTTTGCCAAAAAATTGCCGTGCTTGCAAACTAAATTTATCATTATCATGTAATATGAATTATCATGAAAAACGTCAGATTATCCGGAAAAAAAGGGTTTTGACGTTTATGAAGAAAAAGTGCGGCCCTGCGCTGATGCATGAACCAGGAACGGTTTCCCTTTCACTAGCTAGCACTACATTTTTCTTGAGAAGGTTCCTCGGCTGGAAAGGCATGCACGTGCTCGTGTGATAGAATATTCGAGAAAGAACGCGTGGTTCAATGAATTTTACCAGAGTAAGCAGGGAGGTCGAATCTAGAAGAAAAATTATAATATATACCCGGGCGAGGCCCAAACACAATGTCTTTTTGATTGGTTCCATGTCAAAAGTTGGCATATGCCAATATTTGGCAAATACCAAATGTTGGCTAGTGATTGGTTGGTTGCCAATTTTTCTTGTCAACCTCACGAAGTGTTGCCAACATTCGGCAACTTTTGGTTTTGCCAAATATTGGCAATGTCAACTGTTGGCAACAAACCAATTATGCTCTAGATCCGTTCACTTGGAAAAATGGTGTCAAATCCAGAGGAAAAAATATATATACCTGGGCGAGGCCCAAACACAGTGTCTTTTTGTTTGCGTGTTTGGACGGTAGTTTGATGCAATATACTGTACATGTACACATATGTGGCGTCACCGCAGCCAGCTGCGCCACTCACAGCTTTCATTCGCAACGAGCAACGCCACGCTCCAAACCAAACCAGCGAGGCGAGACAGCCGCACATGGTCCAGGACACGTCGCTGACAAACGGCCCTCGTCGGAATCAACGGGACTTGCCGGCCTGACGATCGAGCAACCCACGGTCGGGAATGGCTTTCGGTCAGTCCATTCCTGTGAGCCGTTGGAAAAATTTTGGGTCAACCCCCCGATCTTCCGGCGGCCTAACCGCCCACCGCCGCCGATCGAGGACGGCGGTGCTAATGCGCCAGCCTCGTCGTCTCCCTTCCTGCAACCGCCGCTCGCCGTCCTGTTGCCATCCTCTTCCCCTCCGGCCATTTCTCTAACTCCGGCGATAATCCTTTTTTTTCGACGAACTGCATCCCCACGCCCAACACTCTAAGATATACCATGGGGCATCCTGCCACCCCTAGGCCTCGTTTGGTTCCGCGGGATCCCGGGGGGATCCCCGTTATTTCCCTGGGTGGGAGAACCATGGGATGAGTTGGCCCGGGGGAGTGGACGGCGCCATTTGGTGACACGCGGAGGGGAAAGACCCCTGGCCTTTCCGGGGCCCATCCCGGGGATAGATCGCCCGGTGTCGATAGG